TGCTTACAACAAGTAAAGCATGCTATTTGTGTCGTGCAGCAAAATATCGCAAGACAAAGTAACTCTGTGTGCAGTGTAGACGGGCGATTTGCTTGCAGTGCTCAAAGCCTCTAGGCAATACATGCGCAAAAAAGACGGTTGATTAGTTTCTGCTAGAGGAGCGTTTCAGTGCTATTTTCCTTTGAGATCTATTTTTTATATAGCTTAGGTTCCTAAAAAATGTTTCAGACACATATTTTCCTACTTAGGTCGCTAATGTTTTTTTTGTGAGCTTTTAAGAATACATGTTTAATTAGGTCAAGTTACGACATAGTTTTCCAGATATTTGTTGTTGTCAGAAACCAATTCCTCATTTACATGTAGTAGTAGGATCCCTACTGCCTTATACTAACAATAATAAATTATTTCCAAAAAATAACTTGTTTTACTATCTGCCCAGTTAGTGGTCTGTGAGACCCCACAAGGATCTTTGCGTCCAGATGACTCACATGGTAGGTTAAGGGTTAAGCCTAGGTCCTCTCGATATATGTGGTGATATTTCGTGCATGGGAAAATTGTTTGCAATGGGACAGAATAAACTTTCACAACAATAAAGGGTATTTTTTGATTGTGCATTGCTATGTGCCTATGGGAGAAAGATTTACATGCAAGCGGTAGTCAAGAGAAAATGGCCGTCACCTGCGGTTGAAAGCGATAGCTGATAACTTCTGATACTGGAATGTGAACATTGGGTTAATACAGTTTAAATAGCAATATTTAAGCGACAATACTGAAGAACTGCGAGAGCAGGCACAATGCGACAGAAAATCGACTGCAAATGTGCGTATGGTTTAATAGCAGCGAATTAAATTTGAATATAAAACTATACATATACGATGTTTTCTGCCTTCTTGGCAACAGTATATCGTTGAAATTTGAGCAGTTTTTTTTGTTTGTAAAAATCAAGGGCTAAAAAGACACTAGCGCAATTTTGGGATAATAAAGTGTTGATGTTTATTGGGGTATGCCAAATGTCAGGAAGAGATTTCTCCTGTTTTAGAGATTTGAAAATAAACCTTTAGTTTCAGGTTTGTAGGAAACTGTAACCAATGAAACTATTAAAGGACGGTGTATAACTAAATTGTCTCTCAGGGGGGCTTAGTTGGGATTCGCTTTATTCTGATGGCTTTGCCACAGATGGTACTAGAACGTAGTTGAGAGACTACTGTCTGTAGTGTACCATGCACCTGTCACATACACCCTGCATAAGTAGCAGTAGGCAACGCTGCTCCAAAATTTATCACCGTGCATGTATGCAAGTCAGTAATTCACAACTCCAAGGAGCATTTTTCTGCGCTGATGTTTGCCAACGGCGGCAGGCGGAGTGAAGTTTGCCCCCGAGCACCGAATCAGTACGTGCAAGCGTGATCCAACTAACAAATGTCATTAGACGACGGGCAAGTTTCAGAGCCTGGGTGCCCTAGGGGTGCCAGGGCCACCCTGCAGACACCGTGTTGAAATAAATGAGGTTAGTCGAGACACATCCGCTGCTAACTGTCTGCAGGAATTTCTTTGTGGCCGGGGGTAGTTTGTATGGGGAGAGTGTGCCATTGTTCCTAAACGGTTTGCAGTCGAGGTGGCTTTCATTGGCGTTTTAAGGGTGTTACATTGCTTGGTGTTTGGTGAAGTTGTTCCTTCGTTGAGGATCTGTTGCGCTAGTATAGTGAGAGCTAACATTGCAGTCATGACACTAGCCTTAGAGGCGGAGGGTAATGAAGGCTGACTAGCTGCGATCCAAAGTACAATTTTCGGCGAGCAGTGGAACGCAAGACGAAGGTTAAAAACATCATAATTGTTCAAGTTAAGCTTTTGAAAAGTTTATTTTCTTCATCAGGACCTACTACAAGTAATGTTCAATATCAATTGAAGCCATTACAGTATCAATGAAGAATCTGCTAACAACGTTACGTTCTCTTTCCGTAATATGGGTTCGTATAAAAAACGGAGGAAAACCATTAATTATCATGCAGCACCGAAAATGCACAGGTCACAAAATAAAATATTGATCAATATAGACACCGAGATAATTACATAGTTTCTTAGTGTTCTTATTGATCAATATTTCATTTTGTGATCTGTATATTTTTTTATGTATGTTGATTAATGATTCTCCGTTTGTTGACTGCTCGTCCTGGAAGAGGACTTCACGTTGTAAGAAGTTTCATTGTAACAGCTTTAATTGAAATTCTATTATATTTTTTGTAGTATGCCCTGATAAAGAAAATGAACATTTTCGAAAGCTTGACTTGAACATAGAAATCACGAATCTGGCGCGTTTTGGGTGTGAGTACTTCTGCGGGAATTTATACTTTGTCTCGATACTAACCTCTACATAGCAGAACATGGATACATATGTTATAGAGAGTAAGATCTCAAGGCTGTCAGATATTACCTATTTTCACAACAGCATTTATATGTACTTTCTAGGTTGGGTAGTACTTCCATTTGTTGATGCCAGGTGAGAAGGGTTAAGTAAAAGTAAAACTAACTTTACTTAAATTCTGATGACGATTTTATATATCTGTACCTTACTAGGATGAGCCTGAGTTAGTAGTTTTGAGATAATCGCGTTTAAAACATTTTCCATGTCACATGTGACTAAACATAATTCATACAACACATATAAAGGACATTTTGTACTAGAATGGATACAGATATACTTTGTGACACTATTTTGAAGAAATATTTAGCAATTCCAGGTACTTCCCGGCGGCATTAACTCATGTTAGACGCTTGACACATACCGGATGTCTCAGAAAATTTCTATTGAATTGTATTCGATAACATTGGCACCTCATATACAAAAAAGACATTACATGAAAAAATGTATATAAGACTCTATAACTTTTGTCTTAAACATTTTTTCTGTATGCTCATACAAAAAGTTAGATTGGAATTTATAGCGGGAAGTGCTAATTATTACTCTGTAATAATGTTGTACCAGTTATTCAGAGAAATCCATATACCACTGACCCGGTAAAGGATACGAAAGAAAAGGGTATGTTAGTAAGAGATAGATGCACCACGTTGCCTAGCAACCCGAGTCACACCCTTTCTAACATACGTATTGCACGCTTCTCTTTCATATACATTACCTCGTCAGTGATATTTGTATTTCTCTGTATAATGGAATCAGATATTAGCCAAAAAAGTTAGTTCTATTTTTACTTAACCTGTCTCGCCTGGTACTAGAAAATCGGACAACTACCCAACTTAGCAGGTACGCAGACGGTGAACCTAGATATAAATTCTATTTATTGTCCCACGTTTTGTCTTTCAGAAAATATGTTATGGTTAGCACTGAGGTCTTGGACCAATAGCACAACGCTTTGTCTACCACAATAAATCTAAGTCAGCCAGTCTCTGTCACTACTTCCGAAAAAGATGATTCAGATGAAAGACGGGACCTGGGAGCACATATTTGAACGTGCTTCAAGCCGTGACGTGGAGGCGAACCTCAACAACGCACTGTTCGCTACATGTGAAATAAAAAGTAAGGAACGTATCTCGATGTTAAAAAAAACAAAGTAGGACGCGAAGGCGCTTCTAAAGATACGCTTTTAATACAAATCATTGAAAGGCGGATCTCCGAGATTTTCCGCCTCGCGCGACGATCCAAACCCTATGAAGTTTTTTTTTTTCGTTGAAATTCAATGATTTCCTAGATTTCAAAAAATTTTGCGAAAACCTTAGATTGCGTTCAATTCGGATTGACGAGGAGGGCAATCAGTTCAAGTGGTCCGATATTTTTAAATTCATGGTGACCAAAAGGAAGCCCTTCAAACTATTTTTCAAAGTCGATCATACATTTAAAAATCATAGGGCAATGTCCCTAAAGTAGCACCCTGCACCTTTTCAAAACTATTAATCGATTGGATAGGGAGCTTCGTCCAGTATATTTGAAAAAATATAAAAATTTAATAGCGCTATGTACTGGGAATACCCCGTTAACTAATTTACCAGAACACGTCCAAAGTTATACCAATTTACCTCATACAAATGAATACATTTTTTGGTTACAATTTTCCACCTTTTATATTATCAGTTTCGTTTGGATGACTCATTACATGCGGGTATCTATTTTTAAGACTGTGTTTTGTAAACTCGTTTAAGAATATTTTCAAAGCTTTTAAAAGCTGTTTCGATTACTTTGTTTTACATCAGCTAAACCATGTGAAGTTCTAATGGTCACTAGCTGCATTTTTTAGAATAAATACATATTATGTTTTTGAGATATGCATTATTTTGTATAAGATCCTTTTAACCTATTAATCAATGAAGGGCGTACCTTGTAAGCAGATACAAAGTAATTGTTAAACAAGGAACGTAAAGGCGTATCTTAAATAAATTATCAAAAACTATTTGCAGAAATGTATAAAAGATTTGGGAGGTGTATTTTATTAGTCTTTCTTTGTATAAGATAACTGTCAAAAACAAATCTTCTAAGGGTAGTAATTTTTGACTTGGGCTTGGAATAGTATAGCAAATTTCTTTAAAATGCTCTCCTGAGGAATCGTTAAAAAGTAGATATGCCTTTACGTAAATTCAACGGCGAGTTGCTTTTAGACCATCTGAGGAACATAGTAAATGACTCTTGGTATGTTCGTATTAAGGACGCGGTTATCGATTAGTTCAAAAAAGTAACGTCTTGTGACAGAGAAAGGACCACTAGGTACAATGCTGTCCGGCCATTAACCCGTAGCCACAGACGCGGAGTCAATTTGACTCCTTGCTAGTATGTGGAGGGGATTTCTCGTTTTCTCCTCAGTCTATCTGTCCAGGCGTAGAGGTACCTTTTCATCGAGTAGCATTGAACTAGCACTGAGATAGTTGCGTTGATTGTGTACGTTATTTACATTTCATTACGACTTGAATTTCCGACGGAGTCAAAAGGACTACAGGTCTGTGATAATGTTATATTCTCATTTCTGTATTTCATGAACATGCTCGGCTTAGTTTAGGTTTTTAGGATGGATTTTGATAGCAAAGCGGGACCCTCAAAAATAGTTAGATATGGCGATTCGGACTACGAAGAAACTTTGCTGAAATGGGCTGCTGAGGTGGATGAGGAAAATGAAAACGGCAGTGGTATTGATTCAGATGCCGAATTGATTTACAGTGATAATGAGAGCGTTCGGAACAAGAATGGATAGAGATTGCGAAATACTTTCTACTGAAGAAGATGAGACATCGAACCGCGTTTCTAGAGGAAACTATTTCTATGGAAAAAAAACCGTTTCAAATGGTTTGCGTGGACTGTGCAAAATGACAAAATTACTTCGAAAACCTACTGCACGTTTCCAGAATATTACCTTCACGTTAATTTCTGATCGTGATAAGTATTCTCTTTTATGTTTTTAACGAGTTTTGTATGAAAAGTACTTAGTAACTTCATTTTTTTAAGTTAAAAAGTTACCAAAAATGTTATTGTAAAAATTCACGTAAAATTGTGTACAATAAACATATTTCTTTAAAATTTCGTTGCTTTTTACTGAAGATTTTTTTTTATTAAAAACGATATTAAAAAAGACACTATTTAAGTAATATAAGATAGAGGTAAACATGTTTCTATTTTCCAAATATGTTTTCCAAGGCTTTCATTATAGGAGTCATTATGACGCCACGTCTGTGGTAATGTTCAATTCATTGGCCGTCTGTGGTTACGAGTTAAAAATGACCAAGCCGTATAAACTTGAGTAGTGTTTTGTGTCCAGCAATGCATGTGAAAGTTCCCAGTGACTGTATTAATTTTAAGTTAAAATTATCTACAGGGCATCAGCGGATTTCTCTGGCCGTAAGTATTGGTTACAAGAGGATATAGTCTGGAAGAAATCTATCGCCGCTTTTGGAATATCTGGCCGATATTTGATGAAGCCCTGATTTTCATCATATCGACGCTTCTCCATATTATTTCCTTTCATAGAGGAAACACCGTTATAGAAACTCTAATCATATTTCGTTTTAGCATCACAATCCTACTCTGGAACTGGCAGCCTATCTTCTATTTAGTGCTTGAAATACGTACCAAACAAGAAAATTCATAGGTTCCGTCGAACTCAGTGGCGTATACATAACGTGACCATTTATTTTTCTTGCCAGAGCGGGACATCTGCGGAATTATATAATAAAAAAAGTTCTCAGTGTTTTGCAAGTTTCTTATTATAGAAGATATAACACAAAATAATCCAAGCACTAAACACAAAATAGTTAAGTAGGCAGGACTCACTAAGCCAAAGTAGTGGCATGACTTTCAAGTCATATTTTTGTATTTGTCGGCTGAACAAATTTGTTCCAAAACACGGGATCTTGTTTTTAGATAAGTGTGAAAATCAGTACATGATTTATTACTATTTATCTTAATCAAAATAACTTTCATTACTGCGACACTTAACTGTGTTTTATCACTTGTCCATATTTTGTTCGTTTGAGAGAAACCTCATCCGACAGGTGCGTTACTTCCAGGTAGCCACAGAACGTACTCAATAATTTTGGAAAAGTTCGTTAAACGAAGACTGTTGTACGGAAGTGCTGGAATAATTCGACCCAACAGTTTTTAGTAGAAACATCCTCAGCACTCCAGCCAGACATTTTTGTATCTGTCGCAGAGTTGGAAATAAGTGATAATTTTAAATTATCGTTTGGTTTGTTTGCAAAAACGGGACTGTGTCGACCTCGCTGAGACACCGGGACAGACATCCTGAAAGCGGGACTGTCGTGACCAAAGCGGGACGTATGGTCACGTTACGTATACAGCGGTATAAAACATTGTTCACGTTCGATGACGATTCGTCAAGTTTTAGATTCAAAAAGTATCGTGAAAGGTATGAAGGATATTCTCCCGGTCATTTATGCATCGCAAAATTTGCAAGTCGGTAGGTAATTAGCATATTTCAGGTTGGGGTTTGGGACGTTATGGAAATGAAGGGTACCGAACTTCGGTTTTAATATTTTAAACTTGATGAAGCATTTGTTAGGGCGTCATATGTGGGATTCTATGTCAAAAACAGCTGCGGTCCAGAAACACCGTGTAATGTTTATCTTTTTGTCGCTCTGCGATTACATTTTAATATCCGTGATAAATGAGTATGCTTTTTGAAAGTTTTACATGATAGCCTCAATCAGTTTAAGCCCGTTTCTTTAATTCGAATAGTCATTTCTTATCGTACTGATATCATAACATACATGTCATGGGTTGCCAAATATATGAAAAGAAGCGTCACTTTGATTCCTAAGAGCAGGAAAGAGAACTTTTAGTTCTTTTTAGTGAGTTATATGCCCATTTTCTACCACCTTTCTTTCAATATATTTGTTTGAAGATCACATTGATTCAAAAAGCTGAAAATACACGAAAATATTTTTCCCGGCGTGAGAATAAAATTTTCAAGCCAACTTAAGGGCAAAACAACGGTTTTTGCACTATTTCTTAAAGCCTACCATTTCTAGAGACCTAAAGAGGCCCATAAACGTTGCAGTTTCGACTTTACAGGTAAGAATATACCGACCTCTGTCATTTTCTTCAGAAAAGAACTAAAACCTAAAGAATAATTAAATCTCATTTGCTCCGCGTCAAAACAAAAATCAGTGCACAACGTTCAAATTTGCACTCCCGTATTAACCTGCGATCCATGAATGTCCAGGCAAGCCGCGACAAGCAAGTTGCCAAAAGTGCGTATTTTGGTTGTCTGAAACCGGAGCTAAATGACATTAATTTCAATATTTTGTGCGGCCACTGTCTTATAGAAATATAAAACTTAATTTTTTCACGCTATGACGAACATTACCCCCCCGCTGGCCTATGAACCCCATCCGAACTTAAGCCACTGGTAAATTGAGTACGGACCATGTAACCAGGTTAATCATAAGTAATGAGCGTTTTTGTTCCGGGATATGTTTCGTTTAAGTAGAATTTAATGTTTTGATGTAAAAAAAATGTAAGGAGAAATAAGTTTATGGATGTGAATTATTAAATCTAACCATTCTTTGCTACATTCAGATTAAAATACTATGAAACAGTAGATGTTTATTATACTTGTATGAAACACGAAGTGAGTTGAAATATATTAGAGATTAATAATTTGGATGATTTTCGTTAATTAACCCAAACATCCTGAAATTGTAGCTTCGTATTAGAGTCGTAGTGAAATCAGTGATATCTTCATTGGCACTATTTACACAATTGAAATAGGAATTAAATTATCTACAAATTCATCATAGACATTTGAAACCCAATATGCTGGTGTAATTTTATAATATTCAAGACGTAAAATAATTGTGGCGTGTAACAACCAACTAGAAGTCAGATTTAAAAGCAAGACAGTATATATATTTATAAAGAGAATTATTGATAAAACAACAGCATTTACTATTTCACAATATATAAACTAGTACTAACAGGCTAGCTGATAATTCAAATTCTAAGTACCTGGTTGTTGTCAGCAAAGATGTACGGACTAAGTATAATCACTCACATGTGTTAATATCGCTCAACACCTTCTAAAAGGTGTTTCGACTGTTACTGAGCTCGACGACTGAGACTATGTTCAATTTCAGTCTTTCATTTCACGAGATTTTTGCAGAACTTCTCGTGGGCAGTGATGTTTCGGAACCTTCTGTTTTTGACCAAATATTCAGCCTTTTTTGGCCGAATGTAGCGGAAGCTACTAATTTTGTTGCTGCTAAGCGTGATATGTGCGGTGGTGCGGTATAAGACTGAAGACACATTTCATCTCGGACTGTCGCCCTAGAACCACCTTAAGAGAAAAAATTTCGTCGAGTAAGTTAACTCTAAAAAGGATTTTTTTTGGCACAAGTTAGCCCTTCTAAGAAAAAGCTTAGCAGCGGACATTTATAACAAAAAATTAAATAACCTTCCTCCTTCCCATGACAGGATTTTGTGCAGGCCCACATGTAAAAAACCAAAATAGCGTAAGAAAAATCCGACGAAATATCATCTAGCAGACTACGAGACCATTCCCACTTCAGTTGACCCACTTCAAGATTTGTATCAAAATATGCCTTTATAAACTAAACATGACGAAACTATTTACCTCTAAAACAATTTATTTTCTCAAACACATTTTGGATACACTATAGTCGTAAAAAATACATATCTGAAATCACTTAGACCTATAACTAATAGAACATCTGAACAAATAAACAATGTGCGAATACATGCGCGAAGTTAACAAAGAAACAATTCAAAGATTACCGTTGGGTAACGTCACCTTTATTGTTTACTACGGCTGAAATTCTTTGGGGCATAGTGTTAACCAAGTTTTGGCAAAAATTTGCCGTAAAACAATCCCATATTTTTTGAAGCTTTTGTCTCAGTTCGGTGATTGTATGAGCAGGATGTTGTAGTAGAACCTTTTTCATCTCGTGGCACCAAGTTTTAATAGATGACAGATCTGGACTGCTAGAAACCCATTTCAAAAGTGGTACATTACTTTCTTCCATCCATTTTATAGCCTTTTTTGAGTTATGGCACGCTGCACCGTCTTGCTGAAACACAAAATCTTGGCCGGATGTCAAACATTTCCATCAATAAAACGAAGTTTTTCTACTCCTGTTGATGGCATACTGCCCCAGACCATAATGGATGCTGGAAATTTCACTTTTCTCTTCAGACAGTCAACATGGAATGCTTCATTTTTTTACGAATAACTCTACTGCGCCTGTCACCAACACAAACTTCGAATCGGGCCTCATCACTCCATTGTATTCCACACCATTGTTGAGATGTCTATTGTCTATGTTCTTTAGCCCATCTAAGCCGATTTTTCTTTTGCAGTGGAGTTAATAGTGGCTTTTCTTTAGCCTATAAACAAGTTGTGCAACTTTATGGTTTTTACTTCACTTTTTTTTATAAGAAAACTTACCTTGCAAGTGCTAAATCCCAGTTTGTGGGCTTCTCTATGAGTTGTGGACCTCGAAATTCTCCTTCCAACAGCGTCACCCCACAGATCACTTAACTGTAAATAATTGGCACGCCTGTTTTTCACGATTATTCTTCTTAATGCTCTTCGGTCGGCATTTGTGATATTACTTTTTTTCACATGTCGTGGCTCAATATTAACTGAACCAGTTACGTTATATCTTCTAACAATATTTCTCACACTGTACCGCGATAAGTCTAACAAAGTTGCAATTTCTGAGTTTGATTTCCCAGAATTAAAAAATTTAATTATCAGTAACCGAATTTTCTCACTAATAACCTTTCCTCTACCCATTTTGGAAACCTTAACTACCCAAAACTATTTTAAACGTATTCTGACAGCTGTGATTAATAAAATAATTGTCATGGCTTTTACTTTTCACAGCCACCTATGCGTTATATTCTTATTTTGCATTGAAATGGAAATAGGTTGATATGCTGTAATTGCAACATGTGTTATTTTTATACTGCAAATTTGATTATGGAGTGATAAAGTTGGTGTTTTCTACTATATATTATCA